AGAAAACGTAATTATCAGTTATCCGAAAAACAGAATACAGAAATATGTTACAAACGGAGTTATATTCTTTTTCGTTGTGTTGTTGCGAAAGTCGGCGTATAACTTAAATACTTTATTATTATTATTTATGAAATGACGAGTACTTACCAATCATTGCTATTCGTGTCGACACTTCTGTGCGGAGACGAAGACAATACAGCGTTTGATTCAAAGATCTGCAGCAGACATATGCTAAATTATTCTTGTGACCCATGGCATTACCGGATATTATTCACACATGCGAGACGTATTTCAGACTGATTATATGAAACGTCGTTAAATTATCAACCCCGTTATATTTTAGTCGCACTTTGCGGTCGATGGGTGGAACAGTGTTTTATTGGTCGTACACGAAGGTCATGGAAAAAAATATTAACGTTGTGCTCAACGGGTTTTTCCTTTTGTTATTTTGAAATCGATGATTAGTCGAAACGATTATGAATGATCTCAAATCCTATGAAATGTCAATTAACAATATCTGTATCACAGTGGTTTTTAGTGATAAACCCAATAAAATAGATCATTTAAAATAATTATTTACAAAATTATGTGCGATTAAATATATAAATATGCGTGTTCGGAAAAAATGTTTTGTCGAGTGCTGTAATACTATATATTATGTAGGTACTTGTATCAGGAGGCACTTTTACTACGTTGTTGAAATAAAATATTTCAGGCTTAGTCGTAAAATTTTTATACGGAATACAAACAATACTGTAAGTTATGAATTGAAATAATAAACACTTAAGAACCAACAAGTGCCTATTTCAAAATATGTATACAAAAATAGGTAAGCCAATAAAATAGTCAATTAAAAAAAAATAATAAAAAAAAAAAAATGCAAAGTTTAAAATAATAGTTTTGCATTTTTATTATACAAACAATAGAATGTTTTAACGGTAGTCGATAAAATTATATTAGGTTTATACCTAATACTAACATTACAATAATATAATATTGTTAGCAAACGAAATTGATATTTATATTTAAAAAATTCAATTACATTCTTCTTTTTCTTAAGAAAAAAAAAAAACATAAACATTTAGAAGCTATAACATTTTAATAATTATTATCATACATATATACTAATTAAAAATAAAATACAAGTATTTTTAATTTTTTATATTATGACAGTTACCATCGACTATAACTCGCTTTTATATTTTTTATTATACATAACACAAATGCCATATATTCTTTTGATATTCCATATCATCTATTGTATCGTAATAAATTGTTATTAAGTCCAACGTTTGTATATTAATTTATTATCATTATACATATATTTTCTTTGTTTTTACATTTATTTAAAATATAAGTTCTACACAGACGCCACATTTCTACGACTATTATTGGGGACGTCTGACAATTATCCTTAATGTATAACATGTATTTATATAATATATATATCACTGTAATATTATTTTTGTTGAAAATAAATAACGCGTAGCTATATTCATTATTTTAAAATTTTGCTTAATAGACTACAAAAAATTGTAATAATATTAATCATTTAACATACCTTATAAAATATAATTATATATATAATATATAAAGGTATTGATTACGTACATAATCATTATTTAAGTGTTTTGAAGTACGCGAGTAATTTTTTATTTTTATCTATATATAATAATATTATTATTACGAATACTCAAAAATCAGATCAATAATGTGCTTAAATGTTTTATATATTTCACAGATAAACATATAATAATAGTGATAATAATAGTAATGATAATAATGATGTATATTTTATATATATTGGTAATACAAAACAAACGCATACATATACAACGTACGTTGTATAATGTAAAATATTATTAAGTGGTTACGGTTGTTTTGAGTGATGGTGTTAGCAATGTTATCGCGGGAAGGAAAGGATGGAGAGGATAGAAATATTGCCCAAATTATTAGCCTACAATAATATGTCTAGTTTTAGGAAGACTGGATTATAGAGAATTATAATATTAATAGTTAAATCATTATTTTCTTATATTTTAAAAATACTAAAATTTACGTTTTTATTTATGTACGTTTCCCCCCTCGCTTTTTTTTATTGTCTTTTAAATTTATATATTCAATCAAGAAAGTGGGTACTGCAGTTGAATTTATTATACTATTCGAAAAACCAAAATGTATTATTGTATTCAATACACGGGATTTCTGATTTATACACATGTGATACGTACATGGGAACTCTCTGAGTGAAATATTACTCGGATTTTCAACAAGTTACGTACCTAAATATAAGACGATGGTATAAATTTTATTTTTTCAGGTGTGGGGTGCAATATGATAGAAATGAACGCATCTGCTTTTTGGCGCGTGTTAAAATTTATGTAGCTCAAACAAAAAAAAAATAAAAAAAAAATATTTGGTTAATATCTTAACGTTATTTATACATATAATATGTCTAATAATCGATCTTAAGTAAATAAATAAATAAATAAATAAATATATGTATATATATATATTGTATATGCATATACATACATATTATATAATATATATTTTAAAACGATAAAAAAAAAACAATAAGTGTTAACAGAACAATTTTAACCAGTGGATTTCATATATATAATATTTTTTCATATCACATTTTTATTATTTTTTTTTCCCGGTAGGTAATTTATGGCTTGTCTGTTGCATCTCGTTCGGGTCTTACGGGGCCAAATTTTCATCAATAACGATTTTCCTATCCCAGTGATGGCGTTGTCAAGCCAGAGAATTGGAAAGGGTCGCGCGAGCGAATCGTGAAAAATTACTCGTCGGAAAAATTACTTACGCACAAGAAATTAAAATATTGACAGGCAGTGCTGTTATGGTGGAAAATTGTTCGAGGTAATGTGCGCGTATGTTTTATTGTGCACGGATGTAGAAATTGCGTTATGTCGGGGAAAAAATAATGTTTTTTTAATCGTGGTATAATGTGCAGTGTACGAGTAAATATAATACGATAGGTATACGTAACAGTTAAGAAGGGTTCATTTAGAATCTGTATGATACATACAATAATATTAAATTTGATGAAAATAAAATAATGTGAAACTTGACGCCAGTAAATATTTTTATGTACTTGTTAAGATGATGAAAGCTACACGAAAATCACAACAGACCCGAGACGAGACTCCTTGAAAACCATATTTGACATACATACCGTACACATAAATTTAATATAATCATCATTATATTATAATATAATATATATGTACAGGAAATCGTAAAATCATTGTCACATAGTTGTAGAGTAGTTATCAATAAATATTCTTAAAATTAAACTAATGTTATTTAGCTTACATTATTATATAATATTATTTTATAATCTATAGAAATACAAGTACGAAATGAGAAAATATTTTGGAAAAAAATATAACAGCTACAATTAGTATAATTATAATAATAATAATAATAATTATTATTATTATAAATAGATAATATGTATACATATATATAAGCTAAAACGTATTGATCCCCAAACGAATTCTGTATGACTTGGTCGTGTATAATATTATATTCACTCATTATCGATACAGTTAAGCGGCATTTATGTAATTTGACTAGATTTTGCATTATGGGAAAACGATTATTGGGGTAAAGACTTTCGTTGAGGTAAAACAGCATTTACTCATATTGGGAGAAATTTTTATTGTTTTCCTCACGCTCTATACGATTGCAATAAGTAATAAAACTTATATAATAATATCGTGTTCGTATTTCAGAAAGCCTAAATATTGTGAAAACAGAAAATACATAACAATTTTTTCTCTTATTAGGATTAAATTAATTGTTATATTTGCCTATAGCATACTTATATAAATCCCGTTAGATTATAAATATATCAAAGAAAATATTAATATAACAATTTACACTACCTACAATATAATATTCATAGTCCCTAAAAACAGTTTATTTCATCGTAGGCTATATATTTATATATAACATCTTACTTTTAAGGCACAAATTGCTTCATAATAATCACAAACGGCCTGCCACACACGCACACACGGGATGGTAATTGTACAATTTTCGTGTACCTAACCTATAGCAGAGGTATATAATATACTCTTATAACAATACGTCTGTTGGGCATTAAGATCTAAGTACTTATGAAAATTTTTTTTTTTAGTTTTGATTTTCCTGACACGATCGCTATAAATTTAAACACATATGGTAAGAACCGTGAATTATTATTTCCATATGTATATATGTTTTATATTATATAAAGAAACTATCAATTTAATATATTTATGACTTAAATACATCTTATATTACTACAACCACAGCCCGTTTTTATGTTGATTTAATTATTTTTTAAGAGTAATACAATATAAATATGCAATTAAATGACTAATGAGTTTATATTATTATCCTTAAAATAATAATCACACCATATATATATATATATATATATATATATATAATGTATATTATGTATATTATGTACTCACATTTATATATACATATACACATATTATCAACGAGTGGTATTATTTTCCAGTTGAAATTAAACGAATAACTTGGTATGAACGACGTAAATTTTTTGTATTTCTTGACATAATACAATTATTATTGTAATGAATTGGTTTGTCTGAGTGGTCTATATAATAATATTATGTTCTTGCGGTTGAGTAAAATCGCAAATAGTTTAATCAATGAATGGTATAATATATGCACTTATGTATATACCTATAAATAGGTAATATATTAGACTATGTTTAATAACGTGAATATTAAATTAACGTTTAACATTACATTTAATTGATGGCAAAAATATTATATGAATATTTAGCAAAATAGTTTTTTTTATTTTTTTGAAGCGAATTCTGTTAACAGAGAAAATTTTTTTTTTAAAGATCCTTAAATACAATTTTTCGGTGTGTGGGTGACTTTTTTTAGTACGTTTGTGTATATATGTGTAAGATAGATATATAGAGAGAAAGAGAGAGAAAAAGTGGGGAGATTGTGTATATATATATATATATATATATATATATATATATATACTAACGAAGAGAGAGACAAAATAAAATCGATGGGTTTACAGTTGATACCATCGTTTGTCCTTGTTCTTCATCATTAACTCTCGGGCATTGGAGGAAAACTGTTCGGCTTCATTCATCATTCTGGCGGTGCGATCCTCTAGGTTACTGAGCTTTTCGCCACGTTCCACAGCCAATAGATGGGCTCTCGATATTTCGCTGGCCGCCGTGCTCGCTCGGTTGCCCAGTGCGTCCAGTTGGGCTGACGGACCGGGTACAAGTTTTGCTACGAGTTTCGGTGCTTTACCGCTGGCAGACTCACCGACTGTTTGAAAATACACATAAAAAACTCCAATAAATTATGATAATAATAATAAGTAAACGCTAAGTTACATGATGGGGGTAATTTTATTTAAAATTATAATTATTTTTTCAACGATAAACCTTATCAGATAAGACATAACTATTGGCATAAGTGTAACCATCTTTGAAGGATCAAAAGTAGGTATGTTTCGATACAGTTAGATATTTACACAGTTCTTATGTTATAAAATGTATACATACTATGCATTATCACTATAGTTATTAGATAGTAATAGTAATGAAAAAGGTAAACATTTTTTTAAATGTTTTAAGAAGTTTTTTTTTAAATTTACAATTATATCTGATAAATGTATATCTAACCATAAAATACCATGTTTCTTTTTTTTTTTTTTCTTAAAATATATTTCATCAATATAATTTATTTTTTGATCAACTCGGATTTAATTATTTTATTACTTTAAGTATCTAGGTCAATTGTGTATTGGATTATCAACAAAAATGTTCAATCACCAATCATCTGAAATTTCTCAAAGGAACTGGACGTTTATTTAATGACATATGTATTATATAAATGTATATGTATAAGTACAGCGTAGAAGAGAGTTCGTTTTCTCATACCAAAACCGTGACGAAGAAAAAACAAAAAAAAAAACACGTTGATCGATATTGTTTAGTCCATAAATTCCAACCTTAAGTTTTAACCCAGAAAACTGAAAAAAAGAAACTACAGTGCATGATGTTACTGACGGTATAACAGTGATTGATGAAGACAAGAGAGCAAATAGGAAATAAAACCACTGCTGCGAAGAAATTTCTAAAAGTAATTGCTCGAAAGAATAAATGGATCGAAGACAAAGGGTATGTGATTTTACTGGCGACACGCACACTTGGTACGAGTCTGTCTCATTTCACTTATAATATTGCGATTTATAGATTTGTGTAATTATTCAACTATCAGTATTGCTTTATAACACATGGTTTACAATGCAAAAATTCTTTAATGGGTATTATAAAAATAATAATTCGTAACAAACAATGTATTACCTATATTATATTATATATACGGTATATAAATTAAATGTATTTAGAAACGTATGACCCATGTAACAAATAACGTCTAAATTGTTGAGACGAATAATTTCTCGATGATAGAATAACGTAGGATTTATATATTTGGAATAGTCTAATCAATTACTAATTTATTATCAGAATATTGGTTGGAAATTTATAATGTATTCCTTTGGTCGATATTAGATTTACAAACAATACTGAAATGGATTTTATCGGTTTCAAGGTAAGTAAAAATATGTAGACGTTAAGTGATTCACGGAATTATGACATTTTACTACGATTTACGAACAAATATTATACCTATATAAAGTATATATTATTATGCAGTGGGAAATAATTGTTTACAGTATAGGTATATAGAATAAAAATGGTTAATTAAAACTGAAATAAAATATCAAACGTTCATTATACGAACACACAATATATTTTTTATACCGTTAGCATTTGATTTTTGGTAGTTGGTCAAAATGGGGTAAAAAGTAAAAGTTAAGAGGTGGGTGTCCTTATTCTAAAAATTTAATTAATGGGAATTTTACATACATAGTTCTTCGCGGTCAAGGGATCTAGATCCACCTCCAAAGAGTCCTATAAAGAAACTTTGCTTAGGCGGTTCGGGCATCTCGTGTGGTTGGAAAAGTTCGCCCATCATTTCTGGTAGACTTTGGCTAAAAAATTCATTAAATAATTGTGTTATGTTAAAAAAAAACATTATCATACTAAATAAGACTCACCAGAATTCGGTGGAAACAGAAAATCTCTGCACCTCAGAAGGCGTGTTCAAAAACAATCCATGTCCCCGATTACTGAAGCAAAACGTCTTGGCAATTCTATAGAAATATACACACAAACATAAACGTTAACAATCATATATGGATGTAAAGACGTAGTTGGAAAAATAAAAAAAAAGAGGATTAAATAATAATAAAAAATAACAATAATAATAAAATAAAATAAATAACACGGGACATAGCACACTCTATACATTTGCCAGTGTCCAATTAAAATAATAATAACAAGAACAATAATAATAATAATAATAAAAATAATAATATTGATATTAATATTAGAATAATAAATAATAAATATTGAAAAAACTCTACAGACGCTATACACTATAACAATAATATATCTGGTGAAAAATAACTAAAACCCTAATTTTTGTTGTGGCCTTTGTACAAAATTACACTCGACACAATGACTAATACTGTGTAGTAATAAACACACAATTGATTTGTTTAACTGTACACAAATATGATATTTATATGCATTTAGCTTGTTAAGTATAATATAATAAAGTATATACAATTATATGTGTTAATTCTTTTTACAATTCGGCGAGAACTAATAGGAGCGCCTTGATCCTGTTCCGTTGTTTTTGTACATATATATATATTGTGCTCTTCTAAAACATAGGTTTGGTGTGCAAATGATAGAGGGTCTCCGCAATGTATCCAAAAACTCGTAAGAAATTTAAAATTATTATTATTGTCATACGGTCAGACACACGTTAACTGTTTTCAATGTTGCCGCGTTGAACGACTTATATATCGATCTGTACGAGTTTTCGGATTTCGAAGACGTGCGCGATAATAGTTTGAAGATTAATGAAAATTTATAGTATATAACATAGGATATAAAAAATAGCTAAGACGGTTATAGAGTTATGTTAAGGTGAGTGATTGGTGATGGTATATATATGATAGCCTAGTTTCATTTAGACTTTAGTCGCGATAGTTTCCTAGTAAACACAAAATTGGATAGCTTATTGCAATATTTACAGTCGAGTGCTAGGTAGTTATATATATAATACATAATGTTGTAATAGATAAACACATTAGAGAAGTTCATGCAAAAGAAAAAAAAAGAAAAATTAAGTAAAAAATAAACGTTATATCAAAGCATAGGGTTAACGTGCTGCACGATCAGAATAATAATATTAACCAATGGTTCTTTTTAAACTGTTTTGTAATTTATTCGTACGTTTCAGTAGTCCGGCGATAATCCGTAACGGACATTTTTAAATATTTAATATATGTGAGAGAAAATTACGGAATCAATGTTTTTTATTAGAGTAAACTATCGGGATTTTCGAATATCTCAGAAAATCTTTAGTCCAAGGTTGTCGCTCGGACTTTTGAAACGCACTAGAAGCATTATAAAGCTTCTGACAATAATTTGATTTTAGTTCAAAAAATATAGAACAAAAATAGCGTGTATGTATAATACAAATGGACTGAGATTTAATCAACAACACGAGAACAAATGCATGAAAACGATGGGAAAAGCCGTATATGGGTGGGGGTGAAGGGTAGTTAAAAAGCCGAGCGTCACATAATGCAGCTGTATTTATATATATATACGTTCACTTGATAACGAGCTGTTGGATGAAGTTATTGGGTTAGGTATCCATGCCAAAAGAGACGGTATAGCTAAGTAGGACAAGGGTAAATCTGAAGGTAAATTAAAACCAGAAAAGATCTAAGTGCAAGTGTGTTACTGTACATTTGTGTAAGGTCCGAGCCGTTAGACATACCTGGTGTATACTGTTACTGAATATGTATATATAATGTTTGTACGCTATTGTAGCAATGTATCACACGGTATGAATGTCTGTGATGGTTTGGTGAACAAAAAGGTTGTTATACTAAGATGAATTCAATGATTGCAATATAAACATCGGTTCATTTTTATGTAACATATATTATGTGCTGTCAAGAAAATACCTCCCTCAAATTATATTAGATTGCAGTGGTTTATTACATTAATGACACGGATACGAAATCATTTTTTTTTTGCATATAGTTATTATAGTGAACTGTGAACATTTTAATATTATTTCAAAACTTTGATGTTTATAATAATATAGTTTGGGATTGGGGTATATATATATTACCTGTGGTATGGAAACTTTTTGGATAATATATACAATATATACCTATATATATACACGAGTTGTCATTAAATGATAAGCATCGTAACTTTATTTGCCGAATAAGGTTTCTATAAAGCAAAATATATATTCAGGTTCAAAGTTCAAATTAAACTTGCAAGACAAACGAAATTCATGGGTACATAATATAAATATAATACCTATTAATGTATGAATAATCTAGAAAGTGTAGTAACAGTATAAACTGTATAAAAAATTAAAAACGTTGAATACAGTTTAATAAAAAATAAAAATCAATGTAACGCGACTGACGTATAATTCACGGGCTACAAAGTCTAGAGGATATTTTAAATTTACAGTGCCTTTAAAAGTATTCTATTTCAAAATCGAACTCAGTGAAAATAATAAATTTTATTTTAAAAGTGTTGTATATAAGTATATACACATATATCTATATAGTTGCTTGTTTTCGAGAATGCAATAACACTATTGATAAAATAAAAATCATCGGATCACTGGAATAGAACAATTGAAACATTAAAGTTCTGTGATGTAAAATAAAAAGGCGTTGAAGAGGGTGCTAACAATATTTATGAATGCATGCGCTGGATATAAATTATACGTATTATAGATGAAATAGATTTACAGATATAATAATTATTAAGATATTTTTGTGGCATTAAAATTAATTTCGTTTGTTGATAAAGTTGATAGGGTAAAATGGTTTGTAGTAAGAATATCTATATTAACAATAAATAAAAAATAAATTAACATATATTCCAACATTTCATAATAAGTAAAAAAAAAAAATAAATGTTAATATTGTTTTCAAAACTGTGTAAGTATTTAGTAATAAGTTATTGTTAATGTATGTACTTTTACATGTTAAGGATAGTTTTATAATATTGACGTCTAACAGCTCGTATCTATAATATATACATTGACACGTATATAATGTGTTTTTGTCTGTATGCGTGTGTGTGTGTGTGTGTGTGTGTGTGTGTATCATGTTGTATGGCGTTCCTAATGTTCACGACTTACTGGTCAGTGTCTTCATTGACAAACATCTGTTGGCCCCATATGGATAACATTGGGTCAACTATGCCCTGTTTCTGGGTCTGAAAACTGGCCACAATACAAACCATAGAGATAATAAAAACTAATAAATACATATAGTCCGAGACGACAAATGACTGAACGGTAAGTATTTTTTTTTAAATAATTCTACAGTTCATGGACGGTCATGGTGAATTGTACACAAAACGATCGCCTTAAATAAATATTGATCATAACTATATTCAATAAGTATTAAAAATGATCACATAATAACCATCATGTACATAGTTACTGTGTTTGATGTTGTGATAGTTGTTATAATATCATAAAATACTATACGTAATGGCACATAATATCATAATATGATATTTCTATACGTAATAATAAGTTCAATAAGTTTAGAAATAATAAATATTGGTAGGTACTCAGCAATTCCTATTAATCTAAAGAGTGCATTTGATTTGATATGTTAATATGCCACTTTTAATAACAATATATAATATTGCGTTGACGCGGTTTGTCGTCGATCATAATATAATTTGGAAGATATAACAATTAAATCGTTCTGGAATGGTAAATAATTTGGTAGAAAATATAAAACAATAGTAAGAGGTTAAAAAAATTGAATAAAAATAAAAAAAATTCACATTTTATAACAATAAACGGTATCATATAATATTACACGTAATAATTAGCATAACTATGCGAGATATTAACCTTAAATATTAAAAATGATATTCATAGAAAGTGAAACAAATAAGGTCATTTCGATGCGGTTGACTTGGCGCAATGCCATTTCAACACCAAACGAAAAAAAAATAAATACGACCCGGGTTGTAGTAATTTCTTAAGTATCGATTTTTTCTCCTCGGCCGGGTAAAAAGCAGGAAATTGAAACTACACTTAATCTGTTTCCGAAACCGATTTTTCAACGAGATAGAATTTTATTAATTTTGGAAAAATGATATACGACCGTGTGTACATGTATAATAACATTATCACTATTAAAATGTACAACAAATATCAAAAAATCGTAGCGCGCCGTGAAAACATTTTTCCCTACAAGGCTACACACATAGTACACTGCGAAACATTTATAAAAAAAATCATACATTGTATACATAGATCGGGCCTGACTTAGTGAATATAAAACACTATTTGATTTTACTCTATCATAACAAACACCATCACGTTCATGATAAAATATATTTATAAATTTAAACAAAATATTTTACTCTCGTGCCACGTATACACTTTAAACCAGGCCCGACTGTGATATATTATAGAATATCATATTATACGCGAGCGCATTTTTTAATAAACGATTTATATAGGTATAAAGGAGACACGTGTTTCTTTATGAAACATATTGAAAACACGAAAATAGAAACAGAAAGCGCGCAATGATAACGTGGTTGTTGTTCAAAGGTACCTACCTCAGATCAGATAGTGCCAGGAAGTCGACGTCCACCAGCACCTTGAGACTCGGCAGACTATAGATGTTTATGTGGCCGTTGGATATGTAACATGCCAGGCATACACTATCTGCAAACGAAAATATATTTACCGAGTCAGGAAGCGTGTAAACATATATATTATATTAGGCTACAATGATATTTCGTTATTTTTATAGTTAGACGTGATAAGAGAGTTGAAATCGACAATCTACGATAGATGTATGTCGTATGTGTATATTCTTACACATCGAAGAGTATAAGAAGTATAAGAATTTTCCTGCCAAAAGATCAATTTATTACTATAATATAAGACGTATATTTAATGTTTTTATATATTTCAGTATTTTTTTTAAGTACCCATATCATAACTGTCAGATACTTTTAGATATTAGAAATACAAAACCGTGACTATAAAAAATAAAATACATTTGGGGAGGATTTATAAAGTAAAAACCATGCTATTTTGTAAACTTTAATATTGAAAACTTGAAATTGAATTTCATGCTTTCGGAGAGTCAACCTTCCCATCGGGTATATGGTATTACAATAATATGTTATCAATATAATATATATAATATATATAGGCACTCATATTTACATTATATAGTTTGATATGTGAAAACAAAATAAGAATCGTTCAATCGTATCACCAGCATACGTATTCATGAGATTGATATGATTCAGACGTATGCGAAATCACGTACTTACATAGAAATATGACTGAACTAAAAAAAATGTATATTTATCTCAGGGCCGATGATAAATTCATAACGTTACTCGTATATGTTTCAAATCAACATCGATCATTACGCTGTTCGTCTCCATCTCTTTCTCTTTCTCTCTCTCTCTATCACTAACTCCCTCTCACGATAATATTTTTATTTTTTTTTCTTACAATCTCATAAACTATCCAATGTGCCGTAAACGAATAGAACTGCAGGGGTGAGATTACCTTTCATGGATATTACTTCGGATTTGACTATGAAGTCGGCGTCGGATATCACATGTTTGGAGACGCAGTTCTGTGACGGCAGGGCCACCACCCTGACCTGTTTCTCACTAACGATGGTCACGAACTGCCGGTCGCACGACACCTGCGACTGCTGCTGGATCTGTGGGACACTTGAACCGCCGACGCCGCCACCGCCACCGCCGGGATTGCTGGACACGCTTTCCGAGCTACCCGTTAGCGCAGGTGACATGCGGTTCAGTCCGCTCGAGTTTTTGGTTGGCGTTTCTGCAACACGATTGGATTATTGTTATTGTAACTATACCGTCATCGTTACGTCGAATGGCGGTAAAAAACCCAAAACGATCTGTATACGAATGAGTATAAAGATCGGGTGATAATTTAATGTACAAACGGTGGTAAAAATCACGTTTCGCGGTCTCGGGCGACGAACGGCTATTATTTGATATGATATTAATATAACGAATGGTGTTTACTTTGTTTGTCTCGGCCCTCGTCTCTCCACGCTTCGTACGCGTAAGGTATTAATGCACCGTTGCAGTCCAGGAACGACATGGTAAGCACTCCGCCTTTCAGTCTGAACATCGTACCTGTAGACAAGTAGATAAAAAAAAAAAAAATTAATTAATTAATTAAAATAGAAAAACATAAGCAGTATTCTTCAGTAATGGTTTTTTTTTAAATCCCAAAACAGTTTACACATCTATTCATACACGTATGGTTACATGTGGTTTGACGTGGTAATAACCTGAAATGTGGTAATGCCTGCAGATTTATATAAATGACTATGAGTATACTAACTTAACCGAACCAAGGCATATATATTTATTATTATACCATCGATATCGATATATGTTTTCGTAAATTGAACGTAAAACGCGCAATTTGTACAGTGTACACACTATATTAATATGAGTAGTCAAAATGTGTACGCGTAGTAATTTGTTTATTATAAACATTATAATCACGCTTTATTGTTTCTTATTGTAATTCATCGTACTTAAAACGAAATAAACTACAAAATTATGAAAAAGCCTGAAAATATTTCTACAATAATTAACATTATATTTAATAGACCAAAAACAAATAAGAGTAGAACCTTAATTGGCGAATGCGACCCAAAGAAAATGAAAGATTTTTTCAATATCTATACAGTAAAGATAATAATTATTCACTATAAAATATTAATAAATCATTTCATTTTGTTACACTTTTGGCAATAAAAGACTTTGTCAGGTGTAATTTTTTACTTATATAATAAATGTATACTACATTGCAGCTGTATGCCTGCATGTAAAGGTTTCAAATGAATATACCTATATGCTTACAATATAAACTTTTTCGGCGTAACATGTGCGTAGGTTATGAAACCTTATGATACAATAGATTTCAGTGTTTTTCAACGGCTATGCCGTGAAAACTTGATAATGTATTGTTTTAAATAAGTTCTAATTACAATTAAAGATAGAACTTTCTTAAATCATAGATTTAAATTACTTATTTTTGGCAAATAAATAGCGTTTATCTAAAGTGTGCTGCGATTAATAGTAACTAATAATAATATGCTGCGAAGGAAAATAGTTTAAAAACCACTGTATTATATAAAGAGATTAAAGACGATATAAGTTTTATTGTTTTTTTACTGATACAATTAATATTATAACGTAAACACCTAATCATGTTAAAACGTTTACATAAATAGTGACTTTAATCTTACACACATTATACTAATTTCCATGTATTATTTTAAACGTGTTATAAAATATTTTTTTTAGAACTGTTGGCTATTCATCGAAAATTATTTTCATTTCGATTATGTGCTCTTTGAATGATTATTTTGATCGTCGCTGCTGCTGTGAAGTGTGCCTCAGCAATAAAGTTCTAGCGTGAAAAATTATTAAACTTTTCAACGGTCTATAAATGGAAAATTATCGCACCACGCAGTTTTTATTTTTAAATTGTGTTGTTATTTTTATTTACGCCGTTTTAAATGCGTACACCATTTGATATTATTACACTTTTACGTTATGGGTTTTATATTCATATTGTTCAATAAAATTTGCAAGCTTGGAGTTTATTATTTAATTAAATATCGCGCGTCGTGAGAGTATAACAAATGTACTCAATAATTGTTTTCATTTTATATACTCAATTTACGATTTGGAATTAAGTACGCATTAAGAAAAACGAAAATGCCCTATAAAACATAAAGGCAATATACAGTATCTTAATTCTTAATAATTAAAATATCTACATTATTGTAGAATTAGAGACCTTACTACGATGATTTTTGGATTAAGTTGATGAAATATTTTTCTTATTTTTAAAAAGTTCAAAGAATTTTAAATTCTACGTAAGTATCCTTTTGGTTCAGTGAACCTCAAGTAATTTCAAAAAGGAAAGTTTTTAGAGTAATTAATATTGTAATAATGTTTTAGGTATTTGAAATAAGCCTTAGTATTTTTTTAATTCAAAAATAAATAAAACGTAAAGAAATGGAATGTTAAACATGGTAAATTATAATATTTTTTACGCTTTGTAAATGATACGTTTCAGTTATCTGTGAATATAAAAACAGCGAGTTGAAGTTACTAATTAAATATTTTTAAAATATGCGAAACGTTTTGAAACAGATTGAAGAATACACTACGAAAATATAAAACAAGTGAAATAAAAATCGATATTTAAATTGTGCGTCTGTCTGGATGGATTAACCTAATATATATTTAAAGTTAATACACTGTATATATTTTAGTGTGTATTATTGAAGCATTTATATTTTTCAACAGTACGCCCTATTTGGATATATGGATATATGCAATAAATGGCATTTAAAGTCTCGAGTGCCGCTTGTAAATATGATCACAAAAAACAGTGCAAAAAAAAAAAACACTTGAATATTATTTGCATCATTTGGAGCATTAAAAGTCGCTTGAAAATTATACGTATACGACACTGTAATCAGATTACGAAGCGCATATATTTATTGTTTTTTCCGTTTTAATTTAATATGAAAATTATCTGGGATGAATCTAATGACCTACATATGGGTGAAGTTGCCGGAAATGAATATACATAGACCGAAAATAAAAATAAAAGATAGGGAAATACGATTTTGTTAACAGACGAAGAGCATTGATATTTTCAAAGTAAATTCTTCTTCATTGGTTGGATAGATAAGAAAAAAAAACTCACCACAAGGGGCGACGGTTACGGGCTGCGTGGTCCTAGGCTCTCCGGGAGGTGGTAGATTGATCATTATTGTGAGCACCGACCCCACGCTGGTGCCTATCCAGAGGGTCGGGAAGTTAGACGGATCTGAAACAAAAGCGTAAAGAAAAATACGAAAATTATACATAGATTTAACATATATAATATGTATAAATTAAGGAACATTTTGAACGGGAAAAGGAAGAAGAGTGACGTGGACTCCGCGTAGTAGCGGGCGTGGTGTGGTGAAGGATATTATGAGAAGGTACTCTAAAAACTTATTAGGTAGGTACCGGATTTCTTCGTGTACGAATCTCCAAACGTCAAACACTGTATCGACTCCGTGGTGATGTTGTCTAAGCTCGACATACTAGAACTCCGTGATCTAGAGAACGAGCTGTCCAACTTATCTAGACGGGAAAAAAACAATATACGTAAGTCAATCGAATAATAGACGAGTGTAGTTATAAATAATATTATGTGGTTAAATCATAAAAGCGGTTTTTATTATCATTATAATGTATTTTTATTTTATGTGTTAACCATAACTATAATGGATAATAATATATTATAATAATGTCAGTTAGAAGAAAATTTGACTATTTAAGTAAATTTAGAACAATGTAAAAATTATTACATTTAATTTTGTACGTGCACCACAAAAAGCGTATTCATGCATAATAGTATAGGTAACTAAGTATTATTCGTAATATATTTATATATTTATAATATATGTTATATATGTATACAGTGTACTGTATATAATATTAAACAGGTTGTTATTACGATATACAATTGATACAATACATTAACAAGACAATAAAATAGATTAAGCAATAGGTAAAAAAAACGTGCAAAAGTGCGCATGCTAAGCAATATGTGGTATTTACAACTTTCCGTTGCCGAATATTTTACATTTTTATTTACAACGTTTGCGACGGTTTTTAAGTATGTATTTACAATTTTTTTTACGTAATTTAATATATTATTAAAATTTATATATAATAAATTTATAATATTGCTTACACGCGGGTCGTGTGAAAATTAACAATTTGATAATAACGATAATATTGTAATCGTTAAGTTTAATAGTTATTATTATATATGCATAAATATAAATATATGTATAATAATATATAGTAAATATCAGTATGTGTGTTATAAAAAACGCGCAACGCAGCACACACGCGGGCAGCAGCGTTAAAATAACATGATTACAGTAATGTGACAATTCTTCGTAGTTAGGTATAAGTTAGATTAGGATATATATATATGCAGAATATGCATATAATATTTATAAGTAAATAACGCGCACGTCATCGGGGCTGGTTTGAAGAGCGCTGCCAAGAGTCACACATAATAGAGACACAACAAATTTGTGTTTTATTAATGCTCAAAAAACCAAGAAGAATAGATACAAGAAATACGTTAAAAAAAAACAAGACAAAAACACATAATCTAATATAAGAGAGAGAGAGAGAGAATTAGACACATAATTTATAAAAGATTTGAAAGATCAAAGGGAATAGAGAGAGGGTTATATATTACGTACGTACATGTATAATAGCATATAGTGATAGAGAGCGGTAGGTCACGCGGGTGTGGCCAGACACAAGTCAAAGCAGACAATAATTGTAATATAATAATACAACATAATGTGGAAGAGGCGATAGAGAGAGGTTTATATAAATAACATGTACATAGAGTCACATAAAAACGAATATACATCACACACTAGTTTTGGTAGTCACACATCGCCGCTCGTACATGATGATGAATTTTTAATTTCTTATTTATTTTAAATAAGATGACGGTACAATATACGTTTACCATAATATATTATTATTATTATTATTATTATTAATATTAATAACATTATATCATAACAAAAGGTGTAACTGTTAAAAACAGGTGAAATAGGTCTACGTCGCATGTGCTTGGTATTCACTTTAAGTCGAATTTCACGTGTTGGAGTGGGAAGAGGATGGGGTCTATAAAGTACGAGTATAATAATTATGATCACATATTTTATTTGGCCATGCGAATAGGGGTAAAATAATGCTACGTTAAGTATATATAATGTTATATCATATGTATACGTTATAGGTATGAGTCAAATGACACTACGGCATAAATGATGTGTAATAAAAGTAATGAGGACGACTTTTAAAGTAAATAATAATATTAAATAGACATAACGCGGTATGTTATGTTTTAATGTGATTGATTTATAATAATAATGAAAAAAAAAAAAAATAATAATAATAAATAAAAACGGTCGTTACAATGTATTAATATTATGACTGTTGCGTTTCATGACTTCTATAAACTATATAATTTTATATGGTATCAATAAAATCATGCTATAAATTAATAACGATACACCCAATAATTTTGTAGGTATAAGTATATAATATATAATATACTTAATATACTCGTTGATAACAGTTGTACACCATCGGGTTAATAATACTTATTTAAGTGGGGCTCGAGACTTCTATGGGTCAATAAAATAACCTTAATTAAATGTGCAAGACTTTTATAAGTAAAAGCGTCTTTAGACATGTCACTGACTTATTGATGAGTAAAAATAAATGTATTTATATATTATCAAGATGTAATTAGGTATTATCGATTTGATTTATTATAAATTATTGTTAATGTGTTAAAATGCGTCTATTATACCATTTTGTTTACAGTATGCTGTCTGAATAATTGTACGCGAATGTTAAAAAGTAATTAATAACAAATAAATAATAACTGTAATCACAACTTGACAACCAAGTTAAAAAAAACTGGCATTTTTTTCGTTAACTAAAAATATTTTTTATCGCTCCAATCCTATAAAGATATATTTTTTCCAGTTACAAATTGAAATTTAGTCACTCAGAGCAATATGACAATATATTATAAAGAAAAAAAATTACGCGCAATGTGCAAGTGTACAATGATATGCATTTGCTACCACCAAATCGTCCCGAGCCCCAAAGATATTACCATACTACCAACACATTAAACACATATACCGTTATATATATAATATATATAGTCATTTAAATGGGACAACAGTTGTTGGACGCCTGTGTACACACAAATGGGTCATTAAATCTAGTGCTTTCGAACAGCCATAGTTAGTTGATATAATAATATACTCGTACAGAATGATTCAGCCCTCTATTTTTTCTTTAATACCATAGTTATTCAAAATTTTATTTTTGTTATTTTCAATATGTATACTGTATTTTAAATTATTAATATTTTTTGTTCTACTAAAGAAGTATCTTTTGGAGATACAAACTTTTATTTTTCAAAAAAGAAATCTCTCCTCCTTTTGTTTAGCAGAACATTTTTTTGAACATGTTGACGAATAAAAATTAAAATTAAAACAAGTAGTTTTTGAGTTCATTGACTTTGTGTATTAAAGATAATAGATTTATGATAATGGGCTAGAATACATGTAGACTATGGTAATATGAAAATGTTAGTAATTAATATCAATCTATTTTATATTTTCGAAAAAACAATTTTTCATTACTACTATCCTTAATATAAAAATGTTGATAATTAAAAAAATATTTGTTCAAATTTTTGAACTAGGTACATCAAAGTCATTAAAATTATTATCCATTTAGTAATTTATAAAAAAAAAAGGGAGTTCTCATTTTAAAAATAAACGTTTTTAACACTAAAGATATTTCTTAAGCATTAAAGAATACTTCAAGAATTTTAAAATATGGTCTTTAGGTATATTAAATTATACTAAGAACCAGAATTTGAATAAATTTATTATTAAAGGAAAAATGGAGGCGAGCACACAAAGTGAATCACTCTGTATATTGGCCACCATCGCACCAGAGTATACAAAATAATATATGAAAGATAATAAAATGAATATTATGAAACACTCCGTTCGTATGCTACCTATATTTTATAAGTGATGGTGGGTATTAAAATATTACTGCACATAAACAAAAAATATTCATTTGGCCCTTTCAGGCGATCGAAAAACGTATCTACGCGTACTATGTTGGAGAACGTATATTTGCGTATTTTATTATTATTATTATTATCATCGTTGCGGGTATTATAAGATACATTTTTATTATTGTTATATAATCGGAGACCGTACAGTGTGTATTCGAACTTAGTCGTTATCTCGAAGTGTGTTGTAATATGGCGTACCTAACTAAATAACCGTATTTGAACGATATATATGTGGAAGAAAAATAAATCAATAGGATTCGAATTACACGTATACACCATAGCCATGATATAACGATATTAAGTAAACATAGAATAATGTTAAGTCCAAATAAACTTTATAACGAGTATAATAAGGAGCGTATCACTGTCACGAGCTTAGTGGGTTTATCACTTTTTTTCTTTTAAAACATTTTTTAATTAATATCTTAAATAATAGTAAAATAACAATGACCATAATCGTAATGAAAAATGGATATCTATGTAGAACTTGACGTAATGTAGTATATGATATCGACGATATCGAAACACATGTAAGAATTTACAATGTAAACATCGTGTATAGGCGATTCATTTACGAAAGTTTCAAGTGCTTGTTATATCAACTACCTACCCGACGGAAATTGTATTTGTTTATTGGAAAATAATTGATCATTATTAGGAAAACAAACGGTCTATACTGTACACATATAGTGATTTTAAGATCGCAATATTGTTATGTATAGATGTACAGTAAAACAGTGTATACATGTAGGCTATATAAGAACGTCAGGAAATGCCGAAATCAACTGTATTAATGACCCACGGTGCAGTAAAAATTTGACTAAACATTAGTCGAGTCAATATAGTGGTAAGGTGATTAATGTATCATTATATTGATTCGAGAAAACTTTGTAGGTACACCCGTTTATACTATATATATATATATATATATATAATATATTACACACACACACAGATTTTAAAAATAATTGACATTAATATATGTTATAATTACAATTAAAGAAAGTCATATTGGTATTATGTTCGGACGTTAAAATTATTTGAAAGCGATTATTATTACAAACGATCTGCAATCATTTCAAAGCTTAGTCCTTATAGCTTGAGATAGAAAAAATATATTTGTAAATTATACATACATATATATTACAGTGCGCGGCGTCCAAGTATATTTAAACTATCATCACTAAATATTGGCGTTTTTCATCGTTTAAAATCAATTTTAGGGGTCACGCCGACGACGGTAAACATTGCACGTAAAAGTACGGCGGCGCCCAATTATTAACAATCTAATCGGATTTTCGTATATATTTTTCTTATCATTATTTGTAGGTATTATTGTCGGTCGACTCTTGAAATTTAACAAAAATCTCTCGGGTGAAAAAAATGTGCACTTGCTATAACCGTACGAAATAAACAAAATCGTGTG